TCGCCTTTTGGTACTGCGGGCACCTCGAACTCGTCGTTTGGTGCTTCGGGTCCTTCTCCCGGTGGCGCTTGCAAAGAATGCAACTTGGTTCGTCTTTGCAATCTTTGGCCTGGTGGTCGGCTCCTGCGCAATTGTAGCAGCACTTCGTGAAGTCTTGGCTGCTCTTACAATTAGGCGCGATGTGGCCAAACTCCATGCACTTGTAGCATCTTCGGGGAGTTGACTTGGGTCGTATTCTGCAATACCCCCACCCCAGGCGAATTCTTCCTTTCTCCAGGAGGGGCTTTGCTATAGCCGGTGGAACTTTCAGGGTCAGGGTCTGCGTGCTCCTATAGGCTGGTCTGATGGAGATGGCTGCGGCCTCGCATATTTCCACCCCTGCCTGCGCTTTGAGTTCCGCTAGGACTTCCTCTTGGGTGGACACTTCGTCTATGTCCCTTACCTCCAAGATGACCGTTTCGGTAAGACTCCTTACTTCAACCGTGCTTCCTAGCGCTTCCTTGACTGCTGCCTGCATCTCTTGGGTTCTCGGGTCCGCCGATTTTTCCAGCATCAGCAACAGCTCTCCTTTTGCTGTGCGTCGCACCCCTTGCACCGATTGCCCTAGCTTTTTAAGACTTGGCTCTGTCTTGACCTTCCTTAGGATGTCTGCATATGAGACAGTGCTGGTGGCTGCGATGACTATTGCATCGCTGCGTGGCGGTCTTGGTCGTTGCTGCTGCTTTGGCTTTGGCCTTTGCCTGGCTACGACCTTCACCCACCCCACCTCTCGCTCCTTTGGGGCGTCCTCCGGTCCCTTGCGAGCTACGGCGTCCCTCATTTGGCCTTCCTGCGGCTTCTTCTCCGTTTTTTTTGACTTTTTGGGTCCATGTTTTGGCTTCTTCGGTCTTGGGGACGGGGACGGGGACGGGTGGGAGGTGTTCCTGGGCTCTGGCCGTGCCCTCTTTCCCGCCCTCTCCGTCACTGCCGGCTGTGCAACCTTGGCTACAGCCTGCTCCGCAGAGATCGCCTGCCAGCACGATTCCAACTCTCGCTGCAGATATTCGATCTCATCCACCAGATCCCTCATTGGGTTCGTGATGGACCTCTTTGGGAGCACCATCAGCTTCCTCAACTCTCTGGCCTTTTGGCCCAAGCTCGCCAAATGCGCCATGGCCCTCTCCTTCGGGTCTGCTTGCTCCTCTTGGGGGCGCTGCAACGTTGGAGGAGAGGATCTTGCGCGCTCCTCCACTGCTTCCGCCGGCTGGTTTGGCGATCGCGCCAGAGCATTTCTCCGGCGAAAGGGATTCTCCTCATCCCAGGCGAATGAGCTTGTCAGCGGAGTGCTGCAAGCCGCAGCTTGTTCCCGCTGATCGCTCATCTCCGATCTGGCCGTTGATCTGGCAACTCCGGTTGCTGCGGCCGCGCCCTCTATTGGCCAGACGCTGTCGTTTTCCAGCACTTAGCCTCCAGTCAGCTGTTCTTCCGTCGTTTTCCAACACCACTTGCGGTGAGCTTGGCCAATTTTGCCCAAAAACAAAAAAGAAGGCAGCAACCAACAAGTGGCGCCAAGAATCACAACGAAGAAGAATAGGAAAACAGGCACTTACCTGCTCCTCCTTCCCCCCCCTTCGGCCTATGGCTCGACGGCGTCCCACTGGGATTTCGGCCAGTACTCTTGGCCAGGTGGCCGCTTCTCTGCTTGCGGACTTGCGTTCCGCGCAGGTAAGTAACGCAGCACTACTATGGCTCGCGCTAACTACTCTTTGCCTCTTTTCCAGGCTAACTTCCGACGTTTTCCACTGAATTATACGGAACGATTTAAAAACACGACCGCACTCACTAGAATACACACAGTATCTGGTGTGTGTGTGTGTGTGTGTGTGTGTGGAAACAATTATCACAGCAGTTAAGGAAAGAAAGGAAATAGCAAAAGAAATAAACGAAAAAAAAAATAGAGAGGAAAGAGGAAAATACCCTAAAGCCCCGTGTCGACGCAGAAGAAGTGGCAGAGAGGCAGAAAGCCCGTCGATACCAAACACCAACTAAACTAAGACTATAACTAAAACTAAAACTAAATCAGAGCGACAACTATCACTTTGAGTCGAGTATTTTTCAGCGGGAATATGCATCGAGACCCCGAACAACTTTTACCCGAAAAAAGGTTGTTTTTCGAAATTCACTCCCAGCTTCCCAGCGTCCCAGCTGCTTGCAACATCTTGCACCTACCTTTCGCCTAGACTCAGTGCCTCAGTCCCCTGTCCTCCGATCCTCCCATCCTCCTATCCTCCTGTGCTCTGTCGTCGATATACATTAATTTTTGTCATCACCAAAAGACCAGACAAAGCCACAGGATAGGCCACTCTTCAGAGCCACCTGCACTCCTGCACTCGCAGGCACTCGGGCCTCGGCGGCCTGGCCTCCACCTGGCTAGCGGTCAGGTTTTGTCGCAGTGCCCCCCCAGGCTCTTTGTGTGTGAAAGGTTTTTCTCAGTTAAGATCACTTTACCCATGGGGCCAGGGGGCCACGAGGCAGATGGCAGGAGGGGGTGACACTTTTCCATTCGCCACAGTTCGATTTGGCTCATATTTCAATTTGAAGGAAAATTGAGAAGTTCCCAGGAGAAAAGTCAAACTCAAAAACAACGAAAACAGCAAGTGGGTTAAAAAACAATTAACCCACGGGACTGTACGGGTTGGACACACTCCCTAGGCCCAAGGGAGAAGCCAAAGAAAGTACCTGGTAATCGGAAGCCAGACACAGCGTGACACTTTCTCCGGTAGAACACAGAACCCACAGGCCATGCATGAGTGGGGGGGTGTGCAGAGAGAAGAGGTGCCACACCGAAGGAGTCAAGTGGCTTGACCTTTGCTTTGGCTTCACTGGTGAATTGGTGGATTGTCCGCAGCGGATAATGGCATGGTAATTAGCCATAAACCATAACCCAGTTAAGTTGGAGGCCATTAGGATTGTCAGCATATCGCCAGCAGCAATAGCATTGGCCAGAGCATGATGCCTGATCACATGATGCACCGGGCGGGGGGAGGGAGGGGGGGCATGGGGCATAAGGCATACCGCCGCATGTGGCGGCAGCAACTTTCGCTTTCCACTCGATCGGGCCGCCACAAAAGATGCCGGGTCGCCGCAAAGTACTAGTACAATGCACATGCCGCATGTGGCATGAGAGTGTGGCGTCTCTGGTTGCCGGTGCGGTGCGGTTATTACTTGTTCGTCACTTGCGCAAAAATTGCCCGTTTACCGTTGCTCTGTTAGTTTTTCCTCTGGCCAAAAAAAGAAAATAATGAAAACAAGTCTTTGTCTGGGAAGAGAGGTGTTCACGCTCCGCTGCCGGTCCTAACAAGCCTTTTGAAGACATTTTAATAAGAACACTGTTAAAGAGAGACGGAGAGAGTGTGGAGTGTGTGTGTGTGTGTGTGCGTGTGCGTGTGTGCGTGTGGTGACAGCTATGATCACAATTACCCCACACACCAACTCAAGCCGAACTCTGCCTGCTGCTCTGCCTGCTGATTTCCCACCACACCTCTACACAAAACTATGTTAAACGGAAGGTGAGGCACTAATTGGGGTATGCGCATAGGTATAGGTCCTGCAGCGGCAGCTTTCACGCACTCGCATACCCTCTTATTATCATGCCTTGCTTTGAATACACCTCATAGCTCATCCTCTCTCACTCTTATTCTCTCTTCAAAATCAGTTCTCACACTTTAAAACCTCTGCTGCTGCCGCTGCCGGTGCCGCTGCTGCTGCTGCTGCGACACCAAACATTTAACGGTTATTTTGCCTCTGCGGCTTGCGCTTTGACGCTTTGTCATGTTTAGCACGGCTGTTGCTCTTCCTCTCCCGCTCCCACTTATTTCGGGGGAAGAGAAAACAATGAAGCAGTGGCTGGCTGTATAATTAATTAGGCACCGCACCGCACCGACGGTCCATGCTCTCTTCCGGCAGAGGCGCAGCAATTGGGTTGCACTTTTTCCACCAGGCAGGAAGAGGCGTGCGCCCGTCTTCTTCGTTTCAGAAAGCTTTCCAACATTTAATTGAATCGCCATCACTTAATCATAGGTCGGTCTTCAGGGCTGGGGGGTTATCTGTGGCTTTCTTTCTCATTGCTCCTGCCCTTCGGTGGCTCATTTTCGGATTATAATTACTATTACAGCAGAGTTTCTTGATTGTTACATTTGTGGCATTCCCTAAGTATCGTCGTAAGCTGCAGTAATCGACAGTAATTACAATGCAATTTTGGTTAATTACCTCCAAAGACGAACAAAACTTACTTTACTCTCACTTTCCTGCGGTGGTCGGGGCAGTGCGTGGCTAGATGGTCCATAAAAACGCAGTCTTTTTAGCTTACTGAAAGCTCCAGTGATTTGAATGGTCTTTGGCTTTCCGTGCCAGAGGGGGCATGTGCCACAGCAGTCGGTAGTAGTCGGTCTTGACGGCTGCTGCTGTTGCAGCGGCAGAGTTTAATTGACGTCTCATGCTGGGGGCTGGCGGCTGTGGAAATGCATTCACAGAAACCATTCACATATATATCGTACAGATATGTGCCCCCCACCCCCTCCCCCAGATAGCCGATAGCCGCCACTACAGCAACAGCAACAACGGTAAAAGCACGCTAGGCGGCACGCTTGCGCGATTAACAATTTCATTGAAAATGTGACCCACAATGGGGAGGGGGGGAAAGCAAAAGATATAGGGATTTGGCAATTTTATCTACCAAAAATCATTTCAATTGGATAATTATTACACAAGTCATTACTTTGATGGAAACCCAAAGGCTGTCTATCATCTCCGATCCGGACTGTGGCTGGGTTTCAGACCAGAGCTAACGTGGGGCCACACAAGCCTAGCATTTCTTCCAGCCTTTTGTTTCAAGCCAGTGTGGCATTGCAATTCTTTCAGCTGAATTTCCACTTAATTGCAATGCGGCTTGAAGCAGAGAGAAGTAGAGACAGAGAGAGAGTGAAGGAGAAGGAGAGAGATGCATCTTGCCGTGACTCCTAATGCCCATTGAGTGCTCATCCAGCCAGAGCCATAGCAAAAGCAAAAGCTCTCGCTCTCCCTCTCCCTCTCCCTGCGTGATGACGTTTAGACACAGACATTAAGTGCAATTCCTCTTCTCTCTCTATCTCTCTCTCATAATTTGCCACTGGCCGAAAGCAGAGAGCGTGGAAATTGTCTGCACTTTATGCACTGTGCCATAACAATTACTGTGCGCGCGTTCGCGGAAAACCCAAAGAATGTGTTTGTAATTGATGAGTTTTCCTTTTTCTCTTTGTCTTGCAGGGTGCTCAGGCCTCCGGGCGGCGGTTCCAGCGACATCTTCGGATCGGATATGCCGCAGACCCCCAGGAACGTGAAGAACCGCATGGTGTCCAACATATTCTCCGTCGAGAAGGACAATAGCGTGAAGAATACTGGTAAGTGGAAGGACGGAGATGGAAACAACCCAATCCCACCCGCCCAATAGCTGTGCTCCCCATCCATGTCCAGTGGCCCCGAAAAAAAGCTTATTTATTTGTGCTTTCCTTTCCCTTTGTGTTTTGTGATGTGGGGGGAACCCCATCCCCCCTTGGAGATGCTTATTGAAATGTCTATCGTTTTCTTGTTCTCGTTCTCCCCCCCTCTCCTTCTTTTGATCCCCCCGCTCTACTGTTTTCTCTCTTTTTTGTCTTTTCTACGTATCTTTGCAGTACGACAAGGAGCTCACAGATTCTATTTCATTGGTACTTGAGAATACATACTCCCTATATATGTTGTTTGTCATTCATTTCTTTCCGTTGTTGTTGTTCATTTCGTTGCTAATTTCGTGTGTTCCCCAAAATGCAAGTTCCCTCCGTTGGAGCAGCACCTAAACCCCACCACGCCATCACTGAAACACTTGTCCGTAATCCATAATCCACAGTACCCAAAAGGAGGATAGAGATCATCTCCGAAACACTGCAAAAACCAGTTTCCCACACTCGACCACACGCCACCTCCACCACCACCTCCTCAACCTCCTCCTCCTTGCATCTGCTGATGACATTTTGAATGCATTCAGATACTAGAGGCGGAGCAAAAACCACACTCAAGGCAATCCATTCACTCCACTCACCCACTGATCCACTGTTGTCCACTCTTGTACCTCCTCCCACTCTGTTTCGTAGAACAATAACCAAACTTTACCGCTCGAACCAACAATCCACTAATTTCGAATATCTTTTGTTTCTTTTTGTTATTCCTCGTGTTTGTTTTTCCTCCGTTTGGTGATCGTTTTCATTGATGATAATGATGATGATGATGATGCTGTACAACAGGTGATAATCCGCGTCGCGGCCAGAAGCCCGTCGACTCACACTCTCGACTCTTTGGGGAGCCCATGCGCCCCATCACGCCCGGCAAGAACCACATGAAGAGCAGCATTCCCTTTGGCCAGAACACAGAGACAGCCGCTGCTGCCCAGAAGCTGCTGATCAACGGCAGCAGCAACGCCAACACCACCAATGGACACCAATACAATGGCAAGAGCGGATCCGTGTCCTCGGCCTCGTCGTCAGTGTCGTCCTCGACCGAGAACCTCAAGATGTACAGTGGCTCCCGATCAGGTAATACACACCACACACCACACACCCCACCCACCTTTAGGGCTTCGATCAAAAACAACACACAACTACAAGTAGAAACGCAGAAAAGTAGTCCAAGTTTCGTACGTCAAAGACTTGGGAGCCCACATTTGCTGGGGTTTTTGGTTCAGTAGTCAGTAGAGTCTCACACGAGACACAACGAACGAAATAGAATCTCACATCGGTCTCTGATTATTATTTTTGGTTATTTTGTTTGGTTGTGTGACAAAAAAACAACAAAAAAGTGTGTGGAAATATAAGTAAAAATTCTGTTTAATATTTTCTAAAACATACGGGGCTTTTTGTCGCCTGGCACATGCACAACTAAAATCGAAACGAAAAACAAAATAAATTCTTGCATCGAATCGAATCGAATCGAATCGTATCGCATCATCGGTGGTCGTTTGTCCGGGCTTCTTGCAACAGTCTACATACGCAATATGAGCAGTGAGTATCAGAACCAGTAGTGCCAGTACCATTACAAGTCCTGTCCTGCCTGCATCCCTCCTGCATCCTGGCATCCTTCATCCATCCCCTTCATCCGCCTGCCACTAGGAGTTGAAGATAACGAGAAATCGAAACAAACTAAAACCGATACAGCCGGGTGTCCCCTGACCCCGGTAGCAAGTGCAGCTGCACCCCCACCAGCCGACGTTCTTGGCATCGACCTGCCGTGCCTGGACCTCGAAGTTGGTGACGTGCCAAAGGACAACGAGATCTACACGGAGACCGGCAAGCACGACGTAAACATTCAGACGCGCCGAGACTCGGGAAGCAACGTAGAGCAGCCCCACTCGCTGGAAAAGATGCGCAGCACCGCAAATCTCAAGGAGCCCTTGGCCCTCTGCCCGGATTATGTGAAGGAGGTGCATGGTCCGTGCAATGCACGTAATCCCATCACCGGCCTGGGCCTCAACGGGGACGGAGTGGGTGGCCTCAAGCCCGTGAAGCAGAAGATTCGAGGTCGAGCTCCTACACCGACACCGACACCTGCACTTTTGCTCCACCTGAGCGATCTCTGGAGGATCGGAGATCTCTTGGGAGGAGTATCCTCCAAAGATCGCTTTAGCTTCCACAAGTAGATTGAGAATGCGCTTAGAATTAGCTAGGCTTAGCCTACACTGCAATCTGCCATTTTAGTGCCTTACTAATCCCCATTTATTTTGTTCTCTACTCAACAGAGGGAAATCCCGTGACCGGCGAGGGATGCAGGGCCGGAGGAACGGACTACATTAAGGCCGCCGGCTCGACCAATAGCGGCAGCGTCGGCAACGGGGACAACGGTGGCAATTCGGTGGTCAACAAGAACCGTGTTCCCCCAGGCGGTTACTCGTCGGGACTCTGGTAATGGAAAGGGACGCTGCCCAAGTCCCAGCACAAGCGAGCGACATGGGGCGCCACAACACGACACCAAGAAGAGAAACAAACGACAAACAACAAAAAAACAGTTCTAATACCCACTACACCCCCTACATGATATATACGCGATTAACCAAACATACCAATACATTGCACACATGGAGCATGGAAACTAGCATCGGCAGAAATCAGGCCTCATCAGCGAGCTGGAATTGAACAAGAAAGGGTTGGCAGCAGACAGACACCACAACGGACACAAAACATTTGCTCAAATCGTTCAGCACTGCGTACTCAACAGCACACCTAATCAGCCGGCAATTTTACAGCACTTTACTCCATAATTAACAGAAAAGATAATTCTGTTATAAATGTCGTGTACCACAAGAACAGAACCCCAACCCTGCCCTGCAATGGAAAAAACCTTCTGTATTCTGGATGAATCGGAATGGAACACGTGCGGTGTCATGTGGGACACTCTTAATTATAGTTGCATCAATAATGTACTAATACTACACGCCGCGACACACATCTAAAACATTATATTTATACCAACCGCATCATTGCCACCCACCCCCCTCACACCCATACACCCATACACCCAATACATACTCGTACATAATATACATTACATACATACATATTACATATGTAATTTAACAGTACGCCTGCACGTACTAATTAAGTGTAAAAATACAAAGCGAATTCGAACCCGAATATTTGTTCAATAAAAATCTTTTCGTACATAATGTGCATTGCACAAGTTGCATTTCAAATCACGTTTTGAATATGGGCTTTGGCGGGCGATGGTGTCATTTGAATTCAATAAATCGATAGAAGCGATTTATCAGGCGCGATTTATTAGGCGCGATGCCGCAAAGCTGGGTTATTTTGCCACTATCAAAAGTCGCGGGGTACTGCTTATCTTTAAATATAGAAAAATTGTGGACATTTTCTCTGAACTCAGACAATAAAAAGTGTCTTAATTTCATACACTTTCCTATTTCATTCATTAGAATTTTATCGCCAAAAATGAGCAACATCAACACCCATACGAAGATTTTTTCAATTTTCGCTCTCAAATCGTACTAACATGCATCATTTATTCCAATGGATTGCATTTAAGAACTTTTTGCTCATTCACCTTTAAACAATTTAAATTTTTGGCGGTCAAGTTTGATGGGAGTTGGTCTCTTGTTTTAGGATTCGGCGTATTCCATACAGTGTTGCCAGATTTTGATCGTCAAAATAAGCTAGATTTCACAAAAACACAAGCTAAAACAAGCTAAAAATTGTAAAAACAGGCCAAAAAATAGGCTAAAAATAAAAAAACACATAGATATACACATTTCTAATTGTGTTATAATTTTATCCAACTCGCTATTACCGAATCGGTATATTTATCGCTGGAACGTGTTAAATTTAAATATTTCTCCGGTAATTGGTAGTTGTGGCAACATTTGCCATGACGGCGCAATTCATATCTGTAAAATTCAAAAGAATTATAGTCGTATTCATATTCAAATTCGTATTCAAATATTACTAAAACAAACCTTATATTTAATATTGAGTTTAAGTATGTAACAGTAATTTTGTTCCTAAGCTTGGTCTTAACGATATTTATTTGACTGACTACACGTTCAATGGCAGGATTTGACCACGGTAGACTTAAACTTTCAATGGCAAATAAACCGATTTCTTCAAGAAGTTTGTTTTTGCCAGCATCTTTATAAGTCAGTACTTCTGACCAAAGCTTTATAGTGTCATCCAATATCGAAATGAGATCATTAGGATTTTTTTTATGTTCGAGTACATTTTCTGCTGCAAAAACTTGCAGTTTTTCCAATGTCTCAAAATTATCTGGAAGTCTGAAATTAAACAGCAGATTATTATTTATTTTTAATATCAAATCCTATTGAAGCTTACCTTTCTCTGAGTTGGATAATAAGCTCCTTTATAAAATCTTTGCACCTCAATTTTACAAAATTACACATTTCACACGATCGCTAAGTTTCTGTGTAGTAGTGACCGAAACTTTTCAACGAAAATATACCATAAATGAATTCTAAAATACCATGATACATTAAAATATGTATAAATATGTATACTTTTTGTTTGATTTGCCTAAAAATATATGTAGGATATAAAAAGGCAAACATAAACAGAGTGAAATTAAAAAAGGCTAGATTTAAGGCTATAAGCATTTTCATAATTTTTCAAGCTTTTCCGTTTTCAAATAAGCTAGATCTAGCCTTAAATAGGCTAAAATGGCAACACTGATTCCATACTCGCTAACGTTATTTACGGTATATTTTTTAAATGAGACCGCATATTTTGGTGCTGTTCTGAGGGTCATACTGTAGAAATACTGGTTTTCGCCGCGCTCCCATGGTATTTTTGTCAATTTCATCAATCTATTAATTTCATTTTCAATGTTATATAGAAATCCAATAAAAGCAAGTATTTTGAATAGGCCAATCATGTATAGAATTGATTCATCAATCGTACAAAATTGAGTGGGCATGGCTAAATGTTCCATATAGATAGTATTATTCAAGGGAACAAAGAATAAGAGGAATTGGTCGTTTTTTTGAATCGAGTTTGAATTCGCCGCAGTTCGCTTTAGCAAAAATGAGTCCCATTCCATACACAATGTTGCGGCAACATTTACATGAAAACCGTTTTTTGTCAAAATAAAATACTTACAAGCAATTTAAAGAAGCAATCTTGTAAAAAATGTATTTATCTATGCGATAAAGCTAAGTGGGCAAATCTATATAGCTTGGCAAAACACGATTCGCTGCAGTTTCGCTTTAGCAACAATGAGTCTCATTCCATACACAATTGTTGCTAATTTACCAGCAACATTGCAACTGTTTTTTTGTTGAACTATTTTGCTTAAACCTTGTTTAGTCAAAATACAATAAAAGCAAGGACTAAAAACTGGCCAGTTAAGTAAAAAATTGATTCATAATTCGTATAAAATTATGTGGGCATAGATAAAGGCCCGGTTGACAACATTTAAATCCTTGTCTCTCACTTTCAAAAAAGTTCGATTTGGCGCGCACTACTCGGTATGTTTTGTATATTCTGAGGGTCATACTGTAGAAATACTGGTTTTCGCCGCGTTCCCATGGTATTTTTGTCAATTTCATCAATCTATTAATTTAATTTTCAATGTTATATAGAAATCCAATAAATGCAAGTATTTCGAATAGACCAATCATGTATAGAATTGATTCATCAATAGTACAAAATTAAGTGGGCATGGCTAAATGTTCCATATAGATAATATTATTCAACGGAACAAAGAATTGGTCGTTTTTTGAATCGAATTTGAGTTCGCCGCAGTTCGCCCCAGTTCGCTTTAGCAACACAAATGTTGCGGCAACATTTACTTGAAAACCGTTTTTTGGTCAAAATAAAATACATAAAGGTAATTAAAAGAAGCAGTCTTGTAGAAAATGCATTTATCTATGGGATAAAGCTAAGTGGGCATATATAGCTTGAAATATAGGCAATACCCGATTCGCCGCAGTTTCGCTTTTGCAACAATGAGTCTCATTCCATACACAAACATGTTGCTAGTTCCAAGCACACATACCCTGGGGGAAATGGATGATATAAAATTGTCAATACGTTTGTCTTCCAAGGCTCAATAGGTATCAGGATCGACATAAATATATACAAGATACTAATAATGTACTTGAATATGTCTAAAGAATGTCAATTTGAGAAAAGGTCTTAATAAATTACGTTGGATCTTCATACAAAATTAGCGAAATAGGGTGTACAAAGAGCTATACACGCATCACGTCTTCAAATACCAGCAACATTGCGACTGTTTTTTTTTTTACCTATTTTGTTTAAACCTTGTTTTAGCCAAAATACAGTAAAAGCAAGGATTAAAAACTAACCAATTGTGTAGAAAATTGATTCATCAATGGGATAAAATTATGTGGGCATGGCTAAATGTTCTATATAGCTAGTAATATTCAACGGAATATGAAAAACGAGGAATATGTATAATATAACTTGAATTTGTCAGTATATTTATGGTATATTTTGAAAATGCGACGGTATATCTTGGTATATTTCTGAGAGTCGGGCGGTATATTTTATTGATCCGCGGTCACACTGACTGTGATTTTTGCAGACAAATTTTGAATTTTTGCAAAAAATTTAATTTTAATTTTGCAAGTGAAATGCAATTGAATAATTGTCGCGAAGTGCGCGACTGCGAAGATGTTGATGTTGCGGGGGCCTTGATACTTTAAAGGAGCTTCGGCGACGGTGATAAGCTGGCGCAGCAGGAAAAATCGGCGTAGGATACGAAAACTAGTTCTTACAACAACTTCTGGTCCCCCCAAACTCACGCACACAAACTCGCAGACAGTTATTGTTGTGGCAGACAGACAACAAGCTCCTCCCAAATATGGAAGGAATGGACCTGTGGACGTCCATGTTCTCGGCAGACTTTGAGGAGGGGGAGGAGGAGATTGAGCAATATGCGAATGAAAACGGTCTGGACAACAATCCCGCCGGCGACAGTGACGACATTCTGCCCGAGGGCGATGGCGACGACGAGGACGAAGAAAACGAGGAGGAGGACGACGATGATGATGATAATGATGTGGAGGATGATGCGGAGGAGGAGACCGGCCGTGACAGTGGGAAAACAAAAGAGCCCGATCAGGATGATGATGCCATATTTCAGTTCGATCTGGAGCCGATTGTAAGCATTGGAGAGCCACAGGCTCAGCCACCGTTGCTGGCGCCTCCGGGTCCACTTGGCGCGCCGCCTGTGCGTCCCATGCATCGCCACTCACTGCCCAGGGCCAGCCAGGGTCGGCCCAAGGAGGGGCGTCTTTCGGGCGTGCTAACGCGGCCCACCACCTCGCAGATCAATGCAACCGATGCGAACGGGATTCCCATCAACTATGAGCTGGGCGTCATCTACATCTGCCCCGCGTGCGGAGCGGAATTCCGGCAGCAGGATCTCTGGAAACGCCACATGAACCAGATGCACCAGTTCAACACGCGCCGCGGCCTCAACTTCATGGCCATGGACAAGCTCTATCATCGGTGCCTGGAGTGCAACAAGCGCATCGCCATGCATAGCCGGGAGAACCTTCTGAAGCACAAGTTCACCCATCTGCCGTTCAGGTGCACCAAGTGCTACATCTGCAAACGGGAGTACAAATACAGGTGAGTGAGAACCTCCAAGGATTCAGCTTACTTACGCAGAAATTCTTTGCAGACAAGACCTGATGGTCCACCTGAGGATGGTCCACTGCGACGAGGTTGTGGCCATGATGCGGGAGGGCTTCAACTTGGCGGGCCGAAAGACGCGGGTGCGGGAGCCGCGCACAGAACAAATGCAACGCAAGGACCCGTTCCCAGAGGAGGATGATGAGCGGAACGATCTTCTCGAGCCGGAGACTGAGACTGTGCCACCTATGCTGGAAGAGGAGGCCCCGCCGAGGCGCAGGAAGAAGCGCTACCAAGGAGGTCCCTCCGGCGATGGAGGTGCGGATCTTTGCGAGGATTACATCCACTACATGTGCCCCGATTGCGGCACGGAGTGCGACACGCACGCCCAGTGGAGTCAGCACATTGAGTTTGTCCACGACTACGTCAGTCGCAGGGGGCTCAACTTCATCAGCGTGGACATGCAGATGCAGTGCCTCGAATGCAAGAAGGTGAGTTAGGTGCTTAGTCCTGGGGATTGCCCCTCTTAAAGAGCTGCCCCTTTCCGCAGATTGTCATCCCCAACACCATTAAGACGCTGCGGGCGCACAAGTTCACGCATCTGTCGCAGCCCGCGTGGCTCCGCTGCAAGCTGTGCTACAAGGGCTACACGGAGCACCACGAGCTGGTCAGTCATCTGCTGAAGCAGCACCACCTGGAGTCGCTGATGCCCGAAGATTCGCCTGATCCATCACCCGTCAAAAAGACAGACGGAGGCGGAGGCGACGACTGGGAGGACAATGGAAACGGGAGCGTCTTCGATGACGTGTCACCGCACTTTGAAGATGTCCCGCGGCGGGGAGGCCGTATCGGGAGCGATGACATGTATGAGCCCCACATCGACTACCTGTGTCCGCAGTGCGGCAAGGAGTTCATCGAGAAGAAGCACTGGCGCACCCATGTGGTGCAGGTGCACGGCATGAACGACGTGACGAAGCTCAACTTTGAGATAATCAACGATCGCCAGCTGAAGTGCACGGAATGCGCCAAGATCATAACAAACGCCTACGGCATACAGAATGCCCAGCAGCACAGGATCACACACCTGCCATTCAAGGCGTACGCCAGGTGCAAGTCAAGTACATCGCCAGGCTCCCAGCTGAGATATTCACTCAAGGATTCGAGCCTCAAGAAGCGCACATCCTGAAAGTGAGTCTCTGCTGTTGTCCTCATGTTGTCTTTCAGTTTGAAGCTGTGACACTTTTGTTTCTGCGCCCAGGCAAGGTTCTCCAGCCTCACATTCAGGGGCACAGAGTCAGGAAGCTCTTTTACAAGCCACTTGCTCACAGTCTTGTTAGCCCCGTTCTGTTTGCTATTTTCTATGCCAAGAATAGACTTTAGTGACGTCCAGAGGTCCCTTGTCCAGGTGAGGGATACACCCAAATGGCCATAATCGTGCTGATCGTCACACAACCCCAGCGGAGACACAGAGGTGGCTCCCAGGTTTAGCAGCCGCTTGCTTAGCTTCTTGGCAGCGTAATTGAACTTTGGATAGCTGGAGTCCCCGAGGCCCAGGCACGCGAACTGTAGTCCCTGCAAAGATTGGGCCGGTAAACTTCGTTTCAGCAAGAATCGCCAGGCCTGCTTCATGTTATCCGGCTCTATACCGTCCCCAGTGGTGGCCACCACGAACACAACCAGCCGCTCTTCGATGAGCTGCTGCATGTCGAAGTCCTCGAAGGATAGAACGGGGCCATGGAACCCCAGTGGACGCGATTCCCGCCATATTTGCTCAGCCACGTCCTGGGCAGTACCGGTTTGGCTGCCGTAAAGAACTAATAGCCTCATGGTGGACAATTTTGATTTTCTGAGCCGATAAAATTGTTTATTACCAATAGGAGAAGTGTGACCGCGGACTCATTGATAAAATAGACCGTATAGAAATATACCAAAATATACCGTCTTATTTTAAAAATATACTGTAAATATACTGACAAAACAAAAAAAAAACATGATAGTAGTAATCGTTCATCTTGCTGAAGACGATAGGAAAACAAAACAAACCAAAAACGGATGAAAAATAGAAAATAATAAGTGAGATTGCAAAAACTTTACCAAACCAAACACGTAGCAAGGGAGCGCACTGAAATGGCTTCATTCTATTTGGCGCTCTTGGAAGTGTTTTCTATTGTTGATATGTTTGATTAAATCTTTTTAACACGGTCCAAAAAAAAGGGAGCATTTAAAATTATTACTATTATAGTATTATTGAATTATACGAAACCACATTTGCTTCGATTTCTTCCCAGAAAAAATGTTGGCTCCAGATCGGGTCCCAGCAGAGACACGGGCACCAGGTGACAGTGCCGCCGACATGGTTTTCTGCACGGTGTGTGCTGCCCCCTTCCAGACTGTGACGGATTGCTTGGCCCACGAGTTGCAGAAGCACAAGAACACAAAAAACACGCAAAAAAAATTTCGGCAAAAACTCAGCGCCCTAACCAAGCAGTTCGCCAGCGATCAAACCCAAAGCGAACGCAGCAAGCTGCAGGAGGCTCTTGACAAGACCAGTGACGGCCAGTACCTGGAGACAATATTGAATCTTTATAAAGCTGACTCGATACGCCTGAATCGTACCTTCAGCCACGTGCGCAACTGCTTTGAAAGGGAAGAGGCTCTACAAGTGAAAGTATTTCCCTTTGGCTCGCTGGTTACCGGATTGGCTTTAGATGGTGAGTGGGGGTGTACATTTGGCGGATGTTTCGCCTGCTAGAATAATTAATCCTCTGGCTTCGTCTAGACAGCGACATTGACTTGTATCTGGAGTCTACGAATGATCAGTTATCTTGCCCAAAGCGGCTCTTCAACAAAGTACTGCGGCTTCTGCACCGTTCGATATGCTTTACTGATGTCACAAACATTCGACATGCCCGGGTGCCCATTATTCGCTGCAAGCATCAATTGACAGGCCTCCACATCGACATCAATATGTCCAATCCGAACAGCACATACAATTCTCGCTTTATCAGAGAGCTGATGAACCGCGAAGACAAATTGCACAAGCTCGCTCTGTTCCTGAAAATCTGGGGAAAAAAACTTAAAGTCGTTCGAATGGGCGTCGTCGTCCTCTTCTGGCAGTCCAGACTCGAGACTCGATTCCACGATCGGGGCAAAAGGCTCCAAAAGTATGAATTGTCAAGAGGGTGTCAAGTGTGTGTGTGTGCGGTGTGAGTCAAGAAAGTAAAGTGGGGCCACGCTCAAAAGTATGCTGTCTCTTCCTTGTAATTTTCCCCAACTTAAAATTTGATTTGATCCCCTGTGAATTTGTCAACTTGATGTTTTGTTGGTTCTAATGCGGTATGTGGTCTTCAGTCCCCTCTACTACCCTTGCCGCCTGCTGAGGGCAGACGACTAGGAATGTATCATGTACATGTGGGCGGGCAGTTTATAGGGAACGTAGTGGATATATGCGAAGACTAGCATATTTGGCTCAATTTAGGCCGTAGTGGTGGGGTGTGGCGGCAACTGATGCTGATTTGAAGGTCGATTACGAAACCGATAATCAATTGTCAGCACCGTTGCCGCCGAAGTTTTATCACAGATTGTAATAATTTTTTAGTGGGGTGTCGGAGAACCGCACTAATTACGATAATAACAATGGGGGGGGGGGGGGGGGGGGGGGGAAGAAGGGGTTAAAGAAATGAGATCGAAATGTGCAGAAATGTGCAGTGTTGCAACACGTAGTCAGTTGAGGAATAGATAAAGAGAAAAGGTAAACAATGCAGGTGCTTTGCATGGAAAATAAGTGGAAAGGCACTAAATAAAAGAGACAAGCACTTGCAGAAATAGCAATACAGATAAGTAATAGACTGGAGTGGAGACGACGGAAAAACAGGTAATAAAAGAGATACTACACTGGAACAAAGACGAGACAAAACAGGTACAATTGATTTACGTTTACAATATTACAATAAACATAACAATTTAAAATAATGTCTATATCTTTTACTATAATTACAGGGAAGACAAGAAGCATCGGCCGGCATAGCATAACACAATGCTTGTAAAGACATTGGGTTGCATACCGGCCGACCCCGTCGTCCCCCCTGGTCGTCGAAATTGGCGTCATCCGAAGTCGTCAGAGGTAGCTGCAATTAGCACCTCGTCGTCGTTGTGGCTGTGGCTCCCGGCTTGGAGAACCAGTGGCACTGGTCCGGCCACCAGCTGGGAGCCAGGAGTAGACGGCACACATAGTACTGTGGCGACACGGGTCCGGCCGCCAAAGTGAAATGGATGTGAGTGTGTGTGTGTGCGTCGGTAATTGTGGCCCTAATGTAGAGCGAGTGGCACTGGTCCGGCCACCATCTGTGGGCAATGGCGGTCGATGACACGCCTACTCGAACGGCGCAGGTCCGGCCGCCCAAGTGTAATGGATGTGTGTGTGTGTGTGTGTCTGAATGGCTGGCGGTAAGTATTTTCAGAGCCCTTTTTTAATCGTATTTGTGGCTGATGGATTTTTCCTTTTCCAGGACCATAGGGCACTCTGAATGCCATGGCACTGGATCCGGCCACCAGCTAAGGACGATGGCGATGGCATAACTCGAAGGGCACAGGTCCGGCCGCCCAAGTGTAATGGATGTTTGTGTGTGTGTGTGTATTTCCATTCCAGGTACACATGGCACTCTGAATGCCACGGCACCTGGTTCCAGCAAACCCGATGAGGGCAATGGCGGAGAACGACACACCTACTCGAACGGCACAGGTCCGGCCGCCCAAGTGTAATGGATGTGTGTGTGTGTGTGTGTCTGAATGGCTGGCGGTAAGTATTTTCAGAGCCCTTTTTTAATCGTATTTGTGGCTGATGGATTTTTCCTTTTCCAGGACCATAGGGCACTCTGAATGCCATGGCACTGGATCCGGCCACCAGCTAAGGACGATGGCGGACACGACACACATCTACTCGAACGGCACAGGTCCGGCCGCCCAAGTGTAATGGATGTTTGTGTGTGTGTTGATGTTTTATTTAATTGCTTTGATGGCGGCAGCGTCCGTTGTTAATTTTTGTTGTGGCATGCGGTTGATATGCATTTGTCATTTAATCCATTGCAGTGGCAGAGATGTGTCCAATTAGTACACAGCGTTCCAGGATATCTGGTTGTCAAGATGGTACCTCATGTTGCGGGCGTAGGCCTTAATGTCATCCATGGAGTCGTCATCTGTCCACATCTCATCGTCATCATTTTCTTCATCCGTTTCAGGATCCGTCTCTGGAATGGCGGCTGGCATTGGCCCTGACGTTTTTTGTGGTGGCTGTGGAGCTGGGGCAACCACTGCTGCTGCTGCCATTGTTGGTGGATTTTCCGATGTCACTGGAACTGCTGGAGTTGCCGTCACTGCCTGGGATTGGATGAGCGAGGTGAGTAGTGACATCATCGCTTCCAGCCTCTTTTCCAATCGCGTCATCCTCTGCGTATTCTCCAACAGTGCCTGGCTGCAGGATCCCTCGCAAGATTGGCGTTTCGGCTGCATCTTCTGCCGGGAGCGGTTGTTGGCAAGCTGCTGCTGCTGCTGTCGCTGTTGTTGTTCGCGCTGCGGCTGCTGTTGCAGCTGCTGTAGCTGCTGCTGCTGTTGTGCCTGGGAACGGCTCAATGGCTGCTCTGGACGTCGTCGCCCAGTGCGTGGGCCAGAGGCAGCAGGCGTCTGTTTTTTTGTATGTATTGGCTGCTGCTGCTTCTGCTTCTGCTGATGTTGTTGTCCTCTTCGTCGCCCAGGAGAGGAGACATTGAGTGGCGTCCATGCTGCCTGCTGCTGCTGTCCGCGACAGGGATTGGCTGGCGTTTGAGCTTGCTGTTGCTGCTGCTGTCGGCGCCCTGGATGTGCTGGTGTTCTTGCTGGTGGTGGCTGCTGCTCTGGCAATGGCTGCAGAAGCGAGCTGCGCTTGCGACGCAACTCCTGCATGGCCACTCGGTGGGACAGAAGGCGGCCCCTTGCTGCCTTGAATGCCGGACATCCCTTGTAGGCGCTGATGTGGGCGCCCTGGCAATTGGCGCATTTAGGGGCGTCTGCCCTTGGCTTGGCACATGCCGTGGACGCGTGGGCACCCGCACACTTCATACAGACGAATGAACGCCTGCAGTAGGTGCGGGTGTGCCCGAATGCCTGACATCTGTGGCACTGGGCTGGGTCCACCGGCTTGGCCTGCCTCTCAACGGTCACCAACTGGTTGCCCAGCTGGGTTAATTGGAGGACATCGTGGTGGCTTTCATCCGGCTTGGGGGCTATCTCCAACTCGAACTGGTCGAGCGGCTGTCCATCGGATCTCCCTTTAATGGCTCTAATAAATATAACATAATAACCCAATTCGGCCATCTGATTTTTTATTCGTTGGGTGCTTGTGGAGTGGTGTAGATCTCGCACGACGATCCGTAGCCCACGGTCACTCTTGTGCTGGTGTGTGTAGTGGCCAGTCATCGCCTCGTTGCCGTCGCCATCGCCCAGGATTGCCATGATGGCATCCCTGGTAGCCATGTCGCGGGCCTGGATACGGACACCATTGCGGCTGATGAGCTTGGTGTGATAGCTACTGTTGCCCACCCTCGGGTCATTCTGCAGCTTGTCCAGAATGGGCATAATGTCGGGGACAGCTGGCAGAATGATGGGGGGGGGGAATAATTGTCGTTGGTTGGTGCTGTCGCTGCAGCATCCGAGTTTGTCTGGCATTGGGCATACTCAGGGCGGGCAGCTGGAGCAGCCCAACGCCGCCGCCGCTGCTGCTGCTGTGGGTTCCTGTGCCGCAGCTACTAGTTGCATTTGCAGGTGAGTGAGGTAGAACTAGTGGAGCATTGGCAGGGGCAGGAGCAGGGGCAGGGGCGGGGGCGGGGGCATTTTGTGTAATTGTCCGCTGATGTTGTTGCTGGTTTGATTGTTGGTGATGGGGATGGTTTTGAATTTGGGGGATATGGGATTTGCTTGCCTGTTGGTTAGTTTCCCGGAGTCGTCGTTTGGCCAATGCATAATTGGCATCCAAATTGTCGTCGTCGTCGTCGTCATCAAACTCAACAACCATAACATCACTGTCATCGTCATCATCATCATCATCCACCTCGGTGCGGACGCGCTTCAGTGGCGAACGGGCCGCTGCAGCAGAGGTGGATGGGATATCATCGGTATTGGCTGTGTTTGTTGCTATTGGCTGATGTTGTTGTTGTTGTTGATGTGTTTGCTGCTGCTGATGTTCCTCTGGCGGCGGTGGTGGGGGGGGTCCGCCTGTTAACATTGCTGTTAACAGGCATCGTCTGGCTGCCGACGTAATTGTAGTTGTCGTTTTTGTGTTTGATGTCGCTGTTTGTGTGCTGATGTATGTCATCATTGTATTTGTGGTTGTGGTATTGGCTGTGTGCATTGCATTTGGAACCGCTGCTGTGGCCGATCGAGCGGGGTTTGTGCCATGGCTATGGTTCGAGTTCGAACTCGCTCCCGAACGGGCACTCGAACACGAATCTTTTGTTGGCTGCTGTTCGTGTAGGGGCTGCTCGAGTGCCCTCTCGTACTGTCGCTGGTACGAGGTCGTTACCCGCTCTCTCTTTGCACTCTCTCTCGCTCCTTGCTGTTTCCGGCTCTCTCCACACGAAGCATCGGCATACGGTGCATCGATACGTGTATGTGTGTGTTGGAGTGTGGGAAGCGGAATTATTGGCGCGCTCGGTACCGCTAGGCTTGGCTTGGCTTGACATAGCGGGGCTTGACATTGCGGTGCTTTGGCTGACGCCGCTGCCGCTGCCGACGCCGCCAATGCCTCAAGCCGGCGACTACCGCTGCTGCTGCTGCTGATGTTCTGCTGCTGCTGCTGCTGGCGTTCCTGGGTATGGACCGCCTCCACCCAATCGCCGATCTGGAACTGCTCCTGGCTGGTGAGATTGGGAATGGCCGCCCAGCTGTTGGGGCAGGGCAGGTCGGGGATGGGGCTTGTGGCCGGAGTGGCGGTGATGGTGGTGTCGGCATTTGTGGTCCTCACATACCCGGTAATGGTGGCTGGAGCCGGTCCAGAAATTGGAGGAAGTGCCTCCAACCAGGTGGCGGAGTCGGTGGATTGGCGTCTCAGTATCGCTGCGTTTGCCACGGCGCCGGTGGCTGCGCT